AATTATCATTTATAAAAAGGGGTAAATTACACTCAGACCCCCTTGAGGTTAGGTCAGTTCTCACTTAAATGAAGATTTTGGTCTTAACTTTTATTTACACCCGAATTTGTTTTTTTGGGCTTTGACAAACGTGAATGGACCCTTTTACCCTTAATTTTTTAATACAATTTAATACAAAAAATCTATAATTCTAAGAGACAAAACTACCCCTCTATGCATCTAACACACACTAATCTCTTCGAATCAAACACAAACCTAGTCGCCTTCCTTCTTTGCCACAACCATAAACCCGTCAAAAAGGCAAAAAGAAGCAACTGGTATGAGGAAGGAGACTGGACTGCAACCACGGTCTTGACGGAGACTCTCTGGGAAGAGCAAAGTTGCCGATTCTGAAGTAAGCAGCCGGTGATCAACCGCCACGACAACCCCTATAGAGAAGCACCGTGCCATCTCGCCATCTACCTTAATGATGTCGTTGTCGCTCGTACGAGGAAGTTTGTTGCCGCTGCTCTGAAATCTCAATGATTCTCCTACAACACCACCATTACCTCCTCCTTGTCAAACTGGCGCCATCGAGAATCGACAGAGAGATCTTCTTTGCCAAAGCCTTTGAGTAGCGTGAGTCGGCGTGATAAGTGAGTGCTTAGGTGGGCCATTAGTGGGTTTTTTTTTAGGATTTTAGTAACGGAAGTGGGGTTAACGCGGTATCGATGGAATATATATATATATATATATATATATATATATATATATATATATATATATATATACGTATATCAGAAGTAGACAGATTGATCTTTTGTGAGAAATTGATAAGCTAAGGCTGAACCACAGAGAAAATTATAAGTGAAATAATAATAATAAATAAACTACTATATTTGCCTTGAAAGAGTGGTTTCGAAGAGTAGTTACTAGCTCTGGTTATTGTGTATGATTTTGATCGATTTAGAGAGTGGTTTTGATGGTTGCGGAGAAATAATGGAGACTTAGTACATAAGGAGACACCACAAGCACGGTCATTTTGAAGGGTATTTTTGTCATGAAAAAATTTGAAATACACTTTTTTTTAAGTCAACAGATGGTCAAAAGGGTATAATTGTCATTTTATACCTAAAAGTACTCTAACGTCACCACAAATTGACATTTGGGGTGTAAGTGAAATACAAAATCACTCTTTCAGGCTCCGGCTCAGACACTTCTTTCAAAGAATTAGAATCTAAAGGCTCAACTAATATGGGTTCGCCAATTAAAAACAAAATCTTTATATAGGTGAGAAATGACCTAACTTCAGAGGGTTTGAGTATAATTTATCCTATAAAAAATGTTATATAAATAATAGGGTGAATTACAGTCACACCCTGAGGTTCACTTTATTAACACCTAGATGAAACTTAGCTTTTTTTTTAACATTAACACCTCCTGTGAGAAATTTGATCCAAACAGGGCCTGGTGAGAAAAGACAAGATTATCCTTCATTATTTAATTTATTTTAGTTATAAAATATCTTATATTATTTTAGTTCTAAGTTCTTCCCCTGTCTCTCCTTTACATTTCCTCTGGCCGCCACCCCCACCATGGTTTAACCGCTTTCTCTCTCCTCCACCGCCCACCGCCATGTCGGAAGGCTGCCAAACCACCATCGCTGTCGCAACCCCTCTCTCTTTGTAAACCTTAATTTCCATTCTCTTTTAAACCCGTGTAACATAACTAAATTAGAGGTACTACCATAGTTATCAAAATCGCGATTCTGAGTCGTAGAATCGCACGATTCTACGACTCAGAACTCAAATCGAGTCAAATCGTAGCAGAATCGCTCAATTTGTAGAATCAGAGGTAGAATCGGTAGAATCGGTAGAATTGGGGTAGAATCGTAGAATCGGAGGTAGAATCGTACGATTCTACACGATTCTACCGATTCTACAAAATTGATTGTTTGGGCCTTTATTTTGAGTTTTTTTTATATATTTTTTGGTTGGTTTTTTCTACGCTACAAAATAAAAAAGGCCTGTCCAAGTATAGTATACAAAGTTAAATATTTATTCTATAAAATATAAATTATTTTTCATTAGTGGCAGAAAAAGAAATATATATATATATATGTATATATATCAATTATTTTTACCACGCATGTTGATGTTCTATAATATATTTTTGTGTTTAATTATAAAAAATTAAAATGATCAATTATATCTCAAGAATGCATACTCGTGACTAACAGGTTTAGGCAAATTTTGGTTTCATGATCAATATTTTCATTTGATTGATTTTTTTTTGAAGGCTTATCATATATATTAAAAATTAAAAATAATTTAAAAGCTTAAAAGACTTGCCGGATATGCCAGTCAAAGTATAATCTTGTAGTCTAAACTGATAATATAATGAGATCGAGTTAACGCGTGGTTTATTAATTTTGTTGTGCTAACTCTTAATTAATTTCATACTTGTGACTAATAACGTCACATATACTATAACACTTGGATTGGTGAACAAAAAAGTCTTTTTATTTCTTTAAAAAAGAAATTCCTTTTGATATGTAATTTTAGTTTCTAACTTTATAGATAGATGAGTTAAGATTTGTTAACTCATGTTATTTTGAGTTAAATTTTCTTTTATTTATATTTGGACTTTGAAATATTATTAGAATTTGAGATTTGTAAACCCATGTATATGTAATATTATGTGTTTTGGCCTCATTTTTATTATATTTTACAGATCTTGCTTAAAAGTTAGTTTTAATTATTTTTTCATAATTTGATACAATTTTACGATTCACAATCCGATTCTACGAATTTCGATTTTACAAAACACAAAACGATTATGAGCAGAATCTCGATTTTAATAACCTTGGTACCACTAGATTTCATAGCCAATGAATAAGAACCTACCACCAGGATAGTGTGAATTGATGACTGGAATCCCTGAAGGCGAATTTTTTCAGGCTTGACTTGTCAATCGTAGATTCTGCAGTTGAACCCTGATCAAACAACGTCTCGTCATCGTACGTGAACGACACCGCCATCAGATCATCGACGGTCACATGCTCCATGATCGCTAATATCTTCTTCTAAAGCTCGTTCTTGCAAGCGTTGGAAGATCTCAAGAATATAGTAGATCGCAGAAGACAATAGAGGAAATGGAACGAAAAATCAGCTATTTCGGAAGGCAAGAGAACGACGATCAATTAAAGTAACTCTCGCTGTTGTATTCTAATGTCGGAATCACCGAGATCTGACGTTTCACGCAGCTCCCTGAGTGGTCTCGCACGGTATCACGGAGCGCTCTCTCAGCGCAGGTGATTATCCCGCTCGCTAATGTTAGGGTTTTTTGCTTCCTCGGCGTCGGCGGATAAGGAAGTCTTGCCGAAACCCTGGCTTCTATGGTCGTGGTTGTCGGCGAATTACACTCTTCGTCGTCCTTGACGTCCGTTCTTTGTCCACTGGATTCATAGAGATAGGCTTCAACGGTGTCCTTAATGGAATTCCAGCTATAACCTATTTCTTTTCTCCCTTTCAATGATCTACACAACCATCCTAGACTTTCCTTTTCTCACTCGTGCTTGAAATTGAAAATGAAATTAAAGACAAATTAGTTCAAATTTTAAACGGAATTTGAACTAAGTAATTTTTTTTTTTGCTTTTAAGACTAGAAATGCGATATTGAAACATGAAGATTACAGAAGGGACAGGCAGTGGTGGAGGTGGCGATGGTGGATGGCGGTGGAGGTTGTCGGTGGTATTCAGTGTGAAATTTGTTTATATCTATATATGTATATGTACGACATATGCATACACACACATATATATATATGATATAAATATTTGTTTTGTGTTGCTGGACTGTGATGGTGGTGCTGATGGCTACGGTGGTAGAGGTGGAGATACAAAGAGAGGGTGGACAGTTGTTTAGTGAAGAGAGGGGGAGCAGGTGAGGGTTATTTGGTTCAATAATATGACTTTAAATGTCAAAGGATTATTATGTCAATTCCCTATATCAGATGTGGGAGGTTATTGTCAAGGGTGTTTTTGTAAACTTATTAAACTTGAAGGGATGTTATTGTAAAAAAAAAGATTAAATTTCATCTGATTGTTAATAAGTAAACTTAAAAAAGTGTGAGTGTAATTAATCTTAAATAATAAGAATAATAAAATTATGGGTAAAGTGCAGAAAACTCGCCCTAAACAATTGGCTTTTTGTAACTAACCCCTTGAACTAAAGATTGCCTCCCTAAATTATTGATTTGTTGCAATTAATGACAAATCCATCACAAAAGACTATTGTACCTTTTGTTTTTAAATTTGTCATTTCTTATTAAATTGTTTTTTATTATATTTTCTCTTATTTAAATACTACGTATTAATTATATAATTTAACTTAATTTTATAATTAGTATCAATTGATTATAAAAATAAAAAAATTAAATAAACTTGTAGCTATCATTTTCTAAAATAATTAACTTATTATAATAGAACTTATTATACTCACTTGAAAAAAATTTAGTATAAAAAAATATCTTATTTTTCAAACAATATTAATGAAAAATTAATAAATTACGTAAATAAAAAATATACTTTTTAATGCAATATATTCATGAAAATTAAGAAATTACTTAAATTGTTTCAAAATTTTTTATTTAAGATTTTTATTTAAATAATTAATTTAAAAATTAAAGGCAAATTTATGCAAATTTAATGGAGAATATTTTATCAAATTAGTATGAATTTTTTTCATAATTTATTTTAATAAGAAAAATATATCAAATGTTTTTAAATAAGAAAGAGTATTATGGTCATTTAATGAAAAATAGGTAAGACAATAAAGTATTTGGTAACTAAACGTGATAGTTTAAAGAATTTTATGCACAAAATATAGTTAAGGTTATTTGCGAATTTAGAAAGAGAATATTTTGCACTTTATGCTAAAATTATCTTTTAGTTCAAAGAATAAAATAATTGTGCCGGTCAATTTGGGCCCGTTTGTGTTTTGTAATGTTCTAGACTCGTTACAGCAACTTATTTTTGAGAACCAAACATGTTTAGACCGGCCGTGTTGATTTCAACTGCAAGAACATTTTCTAAAAATGGACCAAAAGTTAGAACACCAATTTGGAGTTCTGGCTTGTTCCAAAAATCTTTCGGGCCAAAAATTAACTGTAGCGGGTGCAACAAATGCTCCCACTTGTTCTGAGTTGAGAACATGTATAAAGAGAAATACTGAACATGTTCTAGGGCTAGGGTTCTCGCGCAGCTGAGGTGATTCACGGCGACTCCAGTACGGCTGACGTCTTCTACAAATCGACGACCCAAATTCATGGTGAGCTCCTCTGGATCTTCGTATTTCATGTGTAACATACTTTAATCCTTCTTCTGTCTTTAAAATTTCGACGGTGTGTGAAGATTGGGCTTCAAATCGACGACTGGAACTTCAAGATCTGAAGAGCTCTCTCTTTATCGCGTCTCTCTCAACTCTCGGATTCTCTTCTCTACTTTTTCGGCCGATTTACGCCAACGAGAAACACCGGCAGCCGTTTGCAATTTCTAGCTAGCTCCAGTCTTCTTCTCCGGCGACGGTTTGGCAAGAAAAGCTCCAGTCTTCTTCTCCCCAAGCTCTCTATCTCCATTTCCTCATCTCTCTCATCTCGGGTATGTTTTTAAAATTTTAGTTAATTTTGTTTCAATCCTATATAGAAAATCTTGTTTACAGACTATATTAACTATAATTTCAGAATTTCAATTTAAATTTAGGAGATGTACAAAATAGAAGTTTAATAAGCCTTAGAACTTATCTGAAAAAGTTAAAAAAAAAAAAAAAAAATTACAGTAACAAACTTGGTAGAACTTACTGATTTTTATAGAATCGAAAAAATAGAAGTCGGATGTACGTCGATTAACCAAAAAGGTTGGATTCTCTCAATTTGTTGTTTCAATTTTCTGTGCTTGTTTTTTGAAAAAGCAAAGCAAGTCTCAGCTTCTTGAGTGGTTCTCGACAATCCACGAACCAGTCAATTACATATTGCAAACCTGTATCACTCGCCTGAATCTGACCCAATTCTGCTGATTTTTCAGGCCCTTTACATACTGGCACATGTCATGTCTATAATCTATAAATCTTCTGTTTTTTCTTTTCTAATTTCATTATAGATCTGTGTGTGTATATATATATATATTTATTTATTTATTTTGAGCTTGATTTATTTATGTATTTGTTTGTCTGTTAAGAAGTAAACGCACTCTGTCCAAAACCGTTCTTATAGAGATGAATGTTTTGAGGCATTTTCTACGTTTGCAACATTAATAATTTCAATTTACTCATCCAAAAGATTCATTTTATGATCTTATTGGGCACATGGTTGGATTACATTTTCTTTCAGGATACAATTCCATGTAGGGCTTGATTGGAGATTTGTTAATATGGGTGTTAAATTTTGAGGAATTTTAATGTGTCGTGAAATTAAAAAAAGTGGGAAATTATTATTATTATTATTATTAGGCTTTTTTTTTTTTTTTTTTTTTTTTTTCATATTCAAAGGATTTTTAAATAGGCTTAATAATGTTTGTTTAGATAAGTGAAGCCATAATGAAATTAATATTTTAAACTTTTAAAACAATGTTATCCTTACGATAAACCTCTCTTTAATAAAACTCTTTTAACAATAGATTGGTATCAGCTCACGAGGTAGTTGTAACAAAGTGTCCATTGGTGAACCTAATAAATCACTGCCTTGCGGTCTGTTTTTAATGCATGAATTATTGAAACTACTGAACAGAAAATCTTACATATGAATTGGTAAAGTTGTGACTTCCAATAATTTTCTACATTTGTGCTTTTCTGATACTATTCAATTTTGATTGAAAGTAAGGTTTGGAGAGTATCTTTTAGTTAAGCTTTTGTTCTTATGCAAACAAGTAATTACACTAAAAAATTTAGTGATGATATTTAGATTTATTAGAAAATTGGTTCAGGTGATGTGTAGTAATCTAGTAGATGGGATAAGTTCGTATTTTCCTTTCTATTTTGGGTCTGCAGTGTGGTTTTTGTGTGACCCTATTTGTTGCTCTTGGTACTTGTTGCTCTTAGTATAAAAAATATTTGTTTTATATCTTAAGTGTGGAATATATTCACGATTAATTTGAATTACAAAATGTGGAAGCTGAAATTTTTTTTTCAGATTTGTACCCAAAAAACAAGAGACGATCAAAAGCATGAGTGTGTGTTGCTTAGAAGTACACGTTGCCCAAATTGTGAGATACAACTACAAGTTTATGAGAATGTAAACAAAATTTTGTGGTCAATGTGTGTTTGCTTAACATTTAAAAAAAAAAAAAAAAAACAGAAAACAAAAATACTATTATTTTTAATTCCTTGAAACCCTTATAATTACTCAATCAAATATATACAACTATAAAAATAGAAATTTAATGGAATTAGAAATTACATACACCCTTTCAGTGTTAGAGCATGATTTTAAATTCCTTGAAACCCAGGACTTATAATTACTCGATCAAATATATACAACTACAAAATAGAATTTTAATGGAGTTAGAAATTTCATACAGAAATTAAAACAAATAGTCAACCATTTTTTGGTTTTTGAAGTTAACCATCTGTCTGGTTTTTGAAATATCCAAGAAGTGATATACCAAGTTCGGGAAGAACCTATGAAACAAGATGAAAAATATTGCCAGATAGATTATTAACATAGGACAAAGACAAAATATTTTTATTTTACTTTGTATTTTACTGTTAACATAAGACCATGTTGCAATTACCATGTATGATAGTTTAAAAAAGATTATTTGAAGAATGTCACTGAACATGCATAATTTATGGGACCACTATTGTTAATGACCCTTTTAACCCATTCTTATTAAAACTATGTAATTAGATGGATATGAATGGTGAGAATGTGGTTGGAGAAGAAATAGAGGACCTTACAGACAATACCGATGATGGAAAACTAGTATGGGATGATTCTTAGCTCCAAGCTTTCATCATCTGTATGGAGGAAGAAGTGAAGCTTGGTAATCGAAGTAGCGGAACTTTTTCTCTAGCTGGTTGGAAGAATATAATAAAAGGCATGAGGGTCCGTATAGGGAAGAAGTATGAACTGAAACAACTTAGGAGCAAATTCAACCACGTGAGGGTAGAGTACAAAGCCTTTGTCAATTTGTTAGCAGAAACAGGAGTAGGATACAATGCTGAGACGGACATAGTTATTGTTGAAACAGAAAGATAGCCTAGATTGATGAAGGTTAGTTATTCAAATAAATGTATGTTCATTTGAGAAATGTATACTTAACTTAATATTAATATTAGTTTAATAATTTGTAGGTGAATGCCCATTATGGTAGGTTTCGAAAGAAGGGATTGAAGCAGTTGACAAGCAATCCACCATATTTGGAGGCACACACACTATAGGTGCACATGTCCGTACTTCGACTAATCCACCCATTATCAACCAAGCCCCCGCACACCATGCAGCCATACGTAGCTCATTTGAAATTGATGATTTAGCTGAGTTAGGCGGTCATGAGTTCAGTCCCTCTCTTGAACCTTGTGGTAAGAAACCAAAGAAAGAGAGTTTTGTCTCCACAATGAGCGATGTCATGCGTGAAATGAAAGACATTGCTAGAGAGAAATGTGATCGAATTGAAAGGGCCATAAAAGAAGCTTCATCATTTAATATGAAAACAGTCCATGAAGAATGTCAGGTTAAAGTAAATTCTCTGAAAAAGACAAAAGGTGATTTTAAGTTATGTTGTAGTATTTTGAATAAGTTGGAGGGCGTTGATATGAAACAATATGCTAAGGTCACCCAGATGTTACGTAATGATGAAGTGTGGAGGGATTTCTTTCTGAATGACCTTCCTGATGATAAGAGGGTTGGTTGGATCAATGGAATTTGATTTGGTATGTTGCTTTTATTATGACTTTGGATGATTGTATTATTAAGTATACTTTATTTGGTGTGTTGCTTTTATTTGGTTTTGTATGACTTTGGATGATTGTTATATTAAGTACACATGTCACAGCTTCTTGGTATATAAAAAAAGTCCAGGCAAGGGGGTGCTAACTTCCGACAGCACATTTCATAGATCACAGGATACAGCTGAAAAATGCTATAGTATTTATGTTATTTGATTTGATTTTAATGACAATATCAATATTTGGCTTGGGATTATTTTATTTGTTGTCTTGCTTTTATTTAAACTTTAGTATTTGGCTTGCGATGATTGTAATTTATGTTGTTTATTACATTTTGTATTATATTGATGGATATTAGGACAATAATTGAGTTGTATGATGATGATGACGACGAGAATGAATGTGTCATCATAATGGCATGTATGTTAGATTATTATATGAAACATTACCATAAACAACCTTGTAGGGATTCTCTTTTAACCGGGAAAGCATATATAATGGAGATCTTGCACGGGCATAGAAGTAGATGTTTTGAAACTCTTCAGGATGTCCAGCCCTGTTTTTTTGAAGTTGTGGGGGGAGCTTAGGTCATTAGGGTTGAAAGACTCTATAGATGTAAGTGTTTATGAACAAGTTGACATATTCTTGCTTACTTTAGTTCATAATGAAAGGAATCGTGTGGTCGCAGAAAGATTTCAACACTCACCTATACAATTTTAAAACACTTTCATTCAGTTTTACAAAAAGTGTGTGATTTAGGGAAAAAGATTATTGTTCCCTCTAGATTTAACCAAAGTTCCTAACCATATAAGGAAGTCAAAAAAGTACCACCTTTTTTTAAGGAATTGATTAGATGTGCGATTGCTTCTGGTGCATTGAAAGATGGTCAATATACTATAACCACAAGCTCTTAATAGTTGCAGGATGTAGAAACTAATGTTGCATCTTCTAGAATGAATGTTAAGAGAAAATTTGTTATTCCTGACTCATTGTATTTTTAGTGTCTATTTTTGGGTTATGATCAGTTAAAATGAGATTCAAAGATTGGTCAAAGAAGGTTTATAACCTAGTGAGGTAGGGGAGCCTAAACCAACTTGTGAATCCTGTATTGAATGATAGATACCCCTAAGGGCTTCAATCAGCCAAATGAAATAGACATAAAGAACAATTGGAGTCGGTACACACTGACACGTGTGGTCTTATGAACATCCAAGCAAGATTACTCACGTTTTGGATAAATTTACCTGATGCAACACAAGTCTTAAATTTTTGGTATATTCCGAAAGTGTCAAGACTGATGTGGAGCACAGATTAGGTAAACTTATCAAAACACTTCGATCTAATTGTAGATATAAGTATTTCTTGGAATAGTGCAAAGACTATATGGTCAATGAGGGTGTTGTGTACCAATTTTTTTCGCAATTGACGCTTAATGGATTGAGATGTCAAATAGGAATAACAGGATTCCGCTTAACATGGTTAGATCTATGATAGGTTATGCTACATTATCTCTTTTATTTTAGAGTTTACCTTTAACGATATTGATGCACATTATGAATTGCATTGCATCTTAGTCTGTCTTAAGGATAACTTATGAGTTGTGCTTTTGACTAAATCTTAGTTTGAATCACATGCACATATGGGGTAGTCTTGCACATGTGCGCTTGATATGGACAAGTAAGTTGGGAGCAGATCATATGCATGATAGATTTGAAAGCTACTCTAAAGGCACTAGGATGGATTATTTTATGATCTCAATGATAAAAGTTGATTGTTTACACTCACTGTTTATCTATAGGAGAATCATATTATGAATCACATACCTAGTAACATAATGTTAGAGAATATGGTATTAGTACCAGTTGTACCACATATGAACACACTTATTATAGAGATTAAGAATTATATATGAATTCCCTAATGATGCGTCGGCATCATTTAGTACACAGATTCCTGCATCGGTACATTGATGTAGTGGGAGGATTATCATCCAATCAGACAGAATCATGTTTTTAGGTGAGACCTTTATGGACATCCCTGTTAAACATGAGTTGGACCCAGTAAGCTACACGGAAGCGTGAACCGATATGGATATAGATCGTTTTGGCAAGTTGCTATGAAATCAGAGTTAGAATCTATGTATTCTAATAAAATCTGGGATCTTGTAGAACTTTCTAGTAGGTGATACCTATGGAAGGCAAGTTAATCTACGAAAGGATACCAGAAGATTTCTTAGTAAATAAATCATGAGTGTACAAGGGAATGTCATTATTTTTCTAATTTTATATATTGATGACATTTTATTCATTTATAATGATGAGGAAGTTTCGTCATCAGTAAAGAGGTAGTTGTTCAATTACTTTGTAATGAAGGATTTTAAAAATGTAAGCTATATTCCTAGGATCAAGCTCTTGTAAGATCAGATTAAAAGGATAATAGGCTTATCTTAATAATCCTACATTGATAAAGTTTTGACCAAGTTTGGTATGCAAAACTCAAAGAATGAGTTCTTGCTTAACTGACATGGATTACTCTCTAGTAAGTAGTTTTCCAAGATTAGCTGAGGAGATTGAGCAAATGAGACTGGAAGTATATGCTTTGGCATATGGGAGTCTCATATATGCTATGGTCTATATCAAAAAGGACATTCGCTATATGGTAGGGATAGTCAGTAGATATCAGTTCGAACTCAGACTTGATAACTGGTCTGTTGTGAAAAATATCATAAAGTACCTTAGGAGAACCAATGATCTCATACTCATTTATGGATGTGATGATGTGGTTCCAGTCAGGTATGATAGTTTTGATTTTAAATCAGTTATATAAGGTCCATGACTTGGTGTATGTTCACTCAATGGAAGGGAAATCAATTAGTAGATTGTTAAGCAGATTTCAACTGCTGACTCAAACTTGAAGGTGGAGTACATTGCAGCCTTAAAGGCAAAAAAGGAAGCCTTTTGGTTTGATCTCACTGATTTAGAAGTTGTGGAGCATACTAGTCTGCCTATCGAGCTATATTGCGACAATAGTGTAAAAGTAGTCCAAACCAATGACCCAAGGTTCCATAGAGGAACAAGGTACACTGAGAGGAAAGTATCATGTTCTACGTGATATTGTCCGGCAAGAAAATGTACTCGTGGCTATAACATTGCGTTGGAACACAACTTTGTTGATCCGTTAACAGAGGTGTTATGATCAATAGTTTTGATCGTAACACCTCTATTAATGGAGTTAGATGCAATCCGAATTGGCTATGAGGGCAAGTGAGAGTTGTTGGGATTTATATGCCCTGACATGGCAAATTCCTGTTTGGATTAAAGTGACATATGTTCCTGACGTATCTGAAATATTTATGTTTCATACAATTGGTGAATTCAATATATTATGTTTCGATTCATTATAGAATTGATAGTGTCCATTTGATTACAAGAGATATTTACATATATGTATGTGATGGCGATCAATACATGAATATATAAATAGTAATCATGAATGGTTCATAGTTGGTAATTATGGATGGACTCATAATTAGTTAAGACTTGAACTGGATCCGTGCTAGGTTGAAATATATTACGATAGCCGTCGTATGCAATTGCTCTCTATCACTGTTATGGCATTTGACTCTTAAGTATGAGAGAAGTATAGACTCTTTTATTAATTAGTAATTACTTTGATTTGTTCGGCGGAATCTTCGGAATCCTTAGACCGGCACTTTTGGTAATTATGTAATTAATAGTTAAAGGGTTATATTTTCAATATTTGCATTATTGCTACTTGTATTTATTTTGTATTGATTATGATTGATCACAAAGTAAATTCGAAGGCCTTCATTTATTTTTAGACAAAATGATTTATTATATATTTATTTATTTAAATTATTATTTTTGTCGAACAAATATTTTATTGTGATCAAGTCGGAAATAATCAAAGGTACCAAAATAAATATATTAATTAAGTAGTCGGATTGATGTTATTTATCCAATAACTAATTATGCATAGAGGGGTCAAAGTATAGCATTGACTTAGTAGGTTATTTATTATTTAATTGGAGTTCAATTAATTTCTTTTAGTGGAGTAGAAATTAATTTATGAATTAATTGAATTGGGTCCATGGATCGGGCCAATTATTAATTTATTGTAGCCAATAAAATAATAAGCCCAAAGGATTCTCACTCATAGCCCAACTTGATATTGGAATCCTATTAGATTTGAGATATGTGAATTAGAGATTGAGAAGGATTTAATGTTTCATTTTCCTTATCTTTATATTGCCTATATATACATGGTCTATGTATATTTTAGGGGTGATTTTTTGGAAGAAAGAAAAAGTAATATATTTTCTCTCTATAGAAAATTAGGGTTAATGTTCTCATCTAATGGATGCTCCCACAAACCTAGTTTTCCAAGGTCATTCACGGAGGCTTATGAGTGATTCTTAAAAGTCAAACCATTACCAAGAAGATAGAGATTCAAGGAGAACACATCTAACAAAAGGGATCTACAATAAGTGAAAACATTCACTTTAGAGGAGAGATCTAAAGTTTACTCAAACCTTTATGTAAGTATTCAATTTATTAATTGAATGATACATCATATTTTATTTTTGCATAAAATTTGTCTCTATGTGATAAATCAAGATCTATGTATGAAAATCCCTCAAAAAGTTTTTAAAACTTGCATGTTTCCCAATAGATATAGGGTAGGCTTAACTGTCCAATGTTGAAACACATCCAATATGTGGGATATCCAAAATAAAAGTCCACTATTTATGAAATTGTTGTCACATTTTGGGCAGTCTGAATTTCAGTTTAGAATTTAGTAACTTCCAAAGCTTAAGGAGGTAGAAGAAAAGGGTTCTTTTGAACCTACCTTGCTCGATGTGAACAGTGATTTTCAATTTATCCTTCGGTAATATTAATAATAAAAAAATATATATGGTGTAGTGGGAACTTACCTTTTCTTGTAATTTAAAACAAACAAAATGGGTGACACAGTTAGTATTTTTTTATCACCATCCTTCTGGTTTCGACATACAGACACAAGTACCAAATAATAAAATAAGTTACCAAATAAAATAAATACTCTAAGTTACCAATTAAAATAAATCTTATTATACTAAATTACCAATTAAAATTAAATGGGTAATTGTTTTATTGAAATTCAATCTTTCAAATCATTTCTAGATATCATTAAATAAATTACCAATTAAAATCAATTAAAATAAATCCTGTAAGTTACCAATTAAAATAAAATAATTTCTTTAAAACTCTACCACAAATTATCTTTTATTATGAATTTTTTTAATAAAAGAAAATCTAATTAGATAAGGATATATATATTTAAAGAAAATAAATAATTTCTATAAAATTGTACCACAAATTCCCTATTTTATTTTCAATAAAACTTTATCACATTAGACAAGGATATACTAAAAGAGTTTATATAAAACAGTAACACAAATTATCTAAATTCTACCACAAATTAACTATTTTTTTTTTTTTTTTAAAACTCTACCACATATAACCTGTATTTATCTATTTATTATGAGTTTTTTAATAAAAGAAAATCTAATTAGACAAGGATAATTATGTATTTAAAGAAAAATAATAATTTTTATAAAACTCTACCACAAATTACCTATTTTATTTTCTATAAAACTTTATCACATTAGACAAGAATATATTTAAAGAAAATATATAATAATATAATAATACATATAAATAATATATAAACGGGTTTCAGTATTTTAGGATTTATTTTTAAATATAAAAAAATTATTAAATAATATAAAAAGAGAACTATATCACATATAACCTCTGTATTTATCTATTTATTATGAATTTTTTAATAAATTTTTTTTATTTAGACGGATATATTTAAATAAAATAAAATAATTCTTATAAAATAATTAAAATATATATATAAAAAAAAATTCAATAAATTACAAAATAGTCATCACGTGGATGGCACCAGCCTTTTCCTTAAATATATATATATCAGAGTAATTATTTTGTTGTTGGTAGCTTTTTGTTCCCTTAAATTATACTGAATTGGTAATTATTTAGGTTTTTATATTCTCTGTCACTGACCTCCAAATCTATTTCACAGATTCATCATAGAACACAGTGACCATGAAAAGGAGAAGAAATTCAACCCAAAAAGGCAACAAAGAAGGAGACAAGTATGACTATTCATTCACAGATCTTCCGAGGCCCATCATCGACGATATTCTACTAAAGCTCTCTGTAAGGAGTATTCTAGTTTGCAGGTGCGTTTGCAAAACTTGGCGCTCTATAATTTCCGACCCTCAATTCGCCAAGCTGCAGTATGCACAGGCAGAGCCCTGTGCTCTGCTTCGGACCTTGGATTCAATCTATTTGGTTGAGCCTAAAGACTGCCACAATTTCAATCTTGGATACTGCACATGTGACAACCATACCTGTTTTCGATGTGACCGTCATATGGAGGTTGACACCAAATTAAAGATGCCAATGCGCAATGCCCAAATGGTGCTTGGGGGTGATGCACAAATGGGCTGCATAAGAGATCAAAATTTCAAAATTGTGAATTCTTGCAATGGTTTCCTTTGCTTGTCTGAACCATCGACTAATGAACCTGTTGTTGTGTGTAATCCGATCACGGGTGAGTGTATAAACCTTCCTGTGGCTAAAGCAGCCGATAATGAGAAAATCCGTTATTTTGTTGAGTTTGAGTTTGGCTTCAGTCCGGGGACTAATCAGTACAAGGTGATTAGAATGTTTGAACGGTGGATTGGTGATCCCCCTAGTTTTTTTTTGGCTTCAGTCCATGATCCTACATACACACTCCTGCAGGATCATGGAAAAGCATTGATGATGCTCCCTTTGTATTTAATTAGATAAGATTTCCCACTTATCTGGAGGGATGTGTGCACTGGTTGATCTGTGGGAGTGCTAGAAGGCTGTCTAAGCATATAGTTTCTTTTAGCTTTGACAACTAGCAATTGCAAATGTTTCCATCGCCTCCTAATGGTTTGAATATGAAGCATAATGCATCCATGGGAGTGCTAGAAGGCTGTCTATGCATATGTGATGCCTCCAGTTATGATCCCATTAACATATGGGTTATGAAGAAATATGGTGTTCAGGAATCTTGGACAAAGATGTTCTCTATTGATAATCAACCTGATCGGAGGTGGCCTTATGGTATATATCAACCAATAAATTACCTCAAAAATGGGGCAGTATTGATGTTTCATCTAAAATGTGCTCTGATTTGTTGTGATCCTGAAAGACTAAAATTAAAATATCTTACAATTCGTGGTGTTAAATCAAAATTTGAAGCAATTGCTTATGTTCCAAGTTTCATTTCACTTAAGGAAGCCATTGTTGGAGATGATGTGGTTGTGCTCAACATCAGTTCAAGGTAAGTATGTGCTTGATTGCAATTTATAGTCACTTTAACCCTTCAATGTATTTTATAGTTTTTAATGATGATAGCTTATGTTCACTTTTTCTTATATTTCATCACTACTTTGCATTGGGATATTATGGGAAACATACCTAAATCTTTCTTACGGGACTTACATATATATATTTTCCAGAACTTACTTTCAAGAACGTTTCTTTTTAAGTGGTCATTTTGTGTGTGGACTTGTTTTTCTTGACATGCATTAACTTCAAAAGACTATATTGTTGGATAATGCATATTGTTGGTGGTTTGTTGTGTATGTAGGAGCATTTAGAATCTATGTTACTTTATCCCTTTCTGAAATATCAATCTTTTAATCCATGTGTTTGAATAAATCTGTACCTGAGTGAGTGCATACAAGTCAATCCTTTGAATTATATTAACCATAAAATCAAATTTATTATTAGTTTTCTTTACTAATTAGGTCTCAACAGATTCTACTCAATATGATTTTTTTGTGGTAAATAATTACTTCAGCATGAGTGAAAATGACATTGTGCTTGCCAATGATTGTCTAAAAGTAAAACAAGGCTGCTAGCACAGGTGTCTGTTGGTTTTATTTTAATCTTTTTCTTTTTTTTTTACAATGTTGGTTAGGGGTTGAGAACAATGAGTTGTTCGCTTTTTTCTTTTTTGCTTTTCTTGTTCAGGTGTGGGGTTACGTAGGAATGAGTTGAGGGGATGCATAGGGTATTAACAAGGTTTTGAGAATGAATTATAGTTAAAATGGCTTAAATGTATTGCTGTTTTGTCTAGATTTTGTTTGTTATTGATGAAATTTAAATAAGATCACTAGTTCTCTATTATACTTGAATTCAATTTCACTTGATTTTAATTAAGAATGTTGCTACAATTTGAAAGGGACCATATAGTCCACAGCTAAAAATTATTAGTCTATGATCACAATGTTAAGAAGATATTGCAACTGAGAATGACTCATAAGCTATTATGCCCCCAAATTCTCTAATTTACACCCTTTTGAGAGGTATTTCAACTTTCTGAAAGCATAAATCATTACTGAAAGATTTAGGTAGAAATGCATGATGACTAATTGTGCCATGTATTACTTTTAATGTGTATAGCATATAGAATACTAGTGTTTGGATGTGGAGATTAGCTGCAACATTTGGTTGTTGCTAATGCATATGTGCACACGAAATATCCGGAATTGGTTTGAGTTAAATATTCTTTACTGGCTGGACGATTTCACTTGCTTTGTTGACAAACTTTATCATTATGAAACTAATATGAAGATTACAAGTAGCTGAAAACCTGTTTTGTTTTTGTTTTTAATGTTATATTTCATTCATTCTTGTTTGGATTTTTTGCACTGTTTGCTTTAATTTGATTTCATTACATAATGTTTTCTGTATGGCTTTTTTGACTTATTATTCAAGTTTGGCTAACTAGGTGTTCGTTCAATCTAAGCATTGGTATTGTTAGGTCAATAGGATTTAGGTTCACAAATTATGTGGCTTGAATCTTTATTTTTATTCTTGCTTTAAATTAGAATTTTGAATGTTAATTAATGTCAAGTTAGTAACCTCTTGTCCAAGGGAAGAATCAAAATTGAAGGGCATAAAGGTAATGTTGACACTCATATACGCAGGCAACCAATTTGACACTCATATACATTCATCAATCAGGGTTTCATGTAAATAATGTTTGATTCTGAAGGATTACTTAATTCCGTGAAACCATTTCATGAAAGTTCATTGATTCGTCTTTTTATGAAGCAAATCGACTTCGATTCTTTAATAATCCACATCACTTCTGCTTAAATCCTTTTTGATATGTACATATGTATTATTAGAAACTACTAAGTTTGAAAAACTTAAGTAATCAAGAGTAGGGAACGTCAATCGATCAAATGGTCAATCGAAATCTCATTGGAGACCAGTATCGATCAATAGATTCAATAGACACTCTGCTGAGTTTTGTGGAAAACCAATTTCCTTTTCTGATTAAAACTCTCAAAATCCTAATATTTCTAGGTATCTATGCCATCTATAAATACATCTAGTTTTCAAAAAAGCAATTAGAGATGCATAAAGCAAGAAAGAGTGCATGCATCATATAGCTGTAATATATCTAGTGTATATGAGAGTATTCTAGCAGTCCCTTGCTCGAGTGTTTGTTTTTCATTCATTCAAAATTCATAACAGAATGGTGAGTGACTATTTATCATTGTTGTGCTTACAAGTTCAACACAAGCGAAGATACCTTATTCGGATCAGATTGAAATGATTAGACCACTGATCAAATTTGGAGAGAAGCAGATCGATTGACGGATCGGACTGAAGTCCTGAAGACTCGAGTGGGGGGTTTGACTACAGTTTGTGTCAGGAGTTAGCTAGGGTTTTAAGGGTTTTGGAACTTTTAACGTAGTTGTGAATTTCCTTTCTTGTAGAGTTGGTTTGATCTGATTGAAAATGTCCCATGGTTTTTCCCTTTGGGGGTTCCACATAAAAATTCTGTGTGTCTATTGTTCTATTTACTTTATTACTCTGCATGATTGATTTGTTTTATGTTTGGATGCATGAGGAGTTTAATTGTTATTGTGGTAATTTAATTTTCAAATAACTAACAAATTAAGTCAAAGTTAAACAATTTTTTGAAAGGAAAATTAGTTACACTTAGTTAACTTAGCTTTCAAGTTCTACTCACCCCCTCCCCCTCTAGGTCTAGATCATGGGCATTGTGCTACTCTACATGAGAGCCTAGTGTTATGGTAATATTCTCCAGTATATATATATTTTTATAATGCATATGCTTCTATGTTTGTGAACCTGAAAATAAATTTTGTGGAGATGCTTTTGGAAGTTCAATAACGGAGTTCATTAAGATGGGCCAACTGGGAGCTCAAGAGAATTCTAGCAACACTTTTAAGAAATTAGATACTTGAGTTCTCTAAGCTGCGGAAATTTTCTCTTCTGGAAAGTCTTGAGGTTTGTTTTGGATGTGGGGCCTTGGCAATGTTTGATACAGGGAAATTTCTGATATTGTTGTTAGATGGGTGGCATCTTGGTCCGTAGGCTAAAGGCACCATTTGATAATAGAGATTGTTGACCTATTCACAACTTTTGAGATGTGATTAGATGGATATAAAAGTCTTTTAACAGTTAAATGAATGCTTCGAGGTTTCAATGGCCTTGTGTAAGCCCACTGTGACCCTCAAGCTCCAAACAGACATGGGGAGGGTCATAGTAGTCTATTTTTGTTGGTATCCTCCTCTTTAGCATTTTTATATGTTTTATCTTTAATAATATTTGATCTCTCATTTTCTTATTTTAAAGATGAGACAGATGTAATTAAACTATTTAGGTTATTTTTTTTCTAGAAACCAGTTGGGTTATTTGTATTGTATTTTTGTACTAATAACTATACGAAAGATTCAACAAAAGGTTTTTTTTTAAAAAATTTTTTTTTTATGCAATTGTCATAGTTGAAAATTACCGCAAGTAATTGATTTCTGACTTATGTGGAAAATGTAGAGAATCATATATGAAATTATTGATTCACTTTCTAAGATGATGTTTAAAAATCTGATGCTCCAAAACTTCTTCTCATCTTTGTTGTGTACGCACCTAAACGTTGTCCAGCATCCATTTATGTTTAAATTGTTTATTTTATTATTATTATTATTTGTAGTTCTTCTTTGTGTAGCTTTTGAGTAATTGGATTTAATATTCTTTATTTTTCTACTATATAATAATGTAGATTGCTTGCCTTTTATTTCTTATTCTTTTTGTCTTTTTTTTTATTGGTTAAATGTAATTTAGTAGTGTTGTAGCTATGACCATGCTGCAGGGGCAAAATCTTGTATAATTCAAGTTGTCTTAACAGAAAAAAACATTAACGACATATCATCTTCCAACTAGTTCTAAAGAAGTTTTGGAGAAGTATGTAATATGTCAAAATATTTTTTTAATAGAAAATACTGTGTGTTATGTTACTTCCAGAGAATGCCAAGATTTCCCGTGTAGTGTCTGATCCATGAATTTGTCATAATCATGCATGTTGCATTTATTTAGTTTTGAATCCCTGCTGGATACAAATGTAACAGTATTCTTTGTGGTGGCACTGGCTATATTCTATATTATGCTATGAACCAGAGATGGTAAAACTGAAGAACAAAGACAGTAGCTATAGTTGCTTCGATTGTGTGGATTGTGTGAATAAATGGGTTCTGGGCAGTCTTCAACTTTATTGTGTGGATTTTGTGAATAAACTGAAGAACAAAGACAGTAGCTATAGCAATTCCTACTTTACTTTTTTTCTTTTTTTTTTTTCTTTTTATTTTTTATTTTTATTTTTATTTTTTTTTCCGTTAAATGTATTTGTTAGTGGCTGTAGTTATAAACAATGCAGCAGGGGAAGAACATTATATATCGTATTTAGATGTCATGCAAGTTGTCTAATGGAAAATAAATAAAGTAACAATGTTTCATCTTCCCACTAGTTCTCAAGCAGTTATGAAGAATTATGTAAAAATGTCAAATTATTTTTTGAAAAAGGTTATGTGTGA